ATTTCTCATTCCAGTAAGGCATCAAAATGATTCGGCTAGCTACTGTCAATTCCTCCTCTCAACTGTTTTATGTGCTGACTGGCATGGCCATCAAATAATAATAATAATATTATTATTATTATTATTATTATTATTATTATTAAAATTGAAACTATGATATGTGCATGTTACCTTGAACCTTGTTCTCTCAGAACCTCAAAGAATTAGTTTTGGTCTTACACGAATTCTGTTCGGCCAAAATTGGTGCATACAAGCAAAAGTCCAAACATATGGATGCATGTCCGACGGCGAATCGGCGATACTATGCAGTATGCAAGTGATCACGGTTCCCGGAAGCAACCGGTTATGTTATTAAAATGTAGTTTCAATTTTTCACGTAACTAACATGCCAGGAAAGAATTTTGCCGGTCTGTGAATATGCATTCAAACACAATATATCCATGGACACACGTCCTAGCTTTAGTTATGCCAATCTGTGTCAGGATTGAGGAACCAGTTGGTCCCAATAACTTGAGTTATTTGTAAGAGGTTTAATCGTGGATCATATACCACAACACTAATATGCCCCCTCAAATGAAAACCACTTACAAGGGCTTGAAGTTTGCATAGGTCTGAAGACAATAATACCATGTGCTTAACAAATGGGGGTCGCCGAGAATTAAACACAAGACCTCTCGATCAAAGAAGGCTCTGATACCATGTCATGAACCAGTTGGTCCCAACAACTCAGAGTTATTAGAACCAACCGGTTCTTGACAATCTGAACCCATCCCTTCCTTTACTTGATTTAATTAGCTTTGGGTGGGCAAGTATGTATATTGACAGTACTTAGCCTTCGGAACCATTAGTCGGATAATATTGCTATGTATGTTTGGACTTCGCTTTATTTAAGTTGGTCTTAACATTTACTATATAACAAAGAACCATCAATTAGGCAAGAATTTTATTCATCATTTTAACATAACATTACTTTTAAAAAATTTGGTACCATTTACAAAATATATTAAAATTCATAATTTGATATTGAGGATAAATATGAAAAATGATTAATTCAATTACTTAAAACACGTGTGTTAAACATTCTATACGAAAAGTAGGGGTGGCTATACGGTCTGGTCCAGTTAAATTGGACCAAATTGATCCAGTCTCAGTCCGGTTTTTTTGGGAATATAATGACCAAAGATTGGATTGGATACAGTTCGGTCTTGATTCGGTCCGGTCTTGATCCGGTCCGATCCCAATTTGATCTTGATTTTAGGTGTTGGGGGTCTCTTATCCGGTCTTTATCTGGGTTTTTTCCCCTCAAATCTAAGCCCGAATATGAGATTGGATTGTTTGCTATCCGGTCTTGGTCCAGGTTATACGGTCCGGATGCGGGTAAAACCAAACAGTCCGGGACCAAATAGCCAGCCCTAACGAAAAGTATTAAACGAGTGAGGAAAAATGAGACTATTCTACAATAATAGGAAAATGGGATTTTTTTCATTTATAACTTCACGATGGTCAACACTCAGCTTTGGCCAAAAAGTAATTTTTTGTGATAGTTTTGGCAATAATATAATATTAATTAGTCAAAAAATTGGTCAGGATGTTAAACTACGGGTAACATCAAAAGATTAAACTTTTTTTTTTTTGAATAAACCTGTTACTAGGGGTGGTTATTTGGACCGGGACCGGATTAAAAACCGGAAACCGGACCGTATAACCCGGACCGAGACCGGACCGGGACCGGATAGTAAACAATCCAATCCAATCTTTGGGCTTAGATTTGAGGTAAAAAACCGGATAAAGACCGGATAAGAGAGCTCAACACCCAAAACTTAAGGGTAATTTGCATAAACGGTCACAAACCTTTGCACTTAGTACAAAACTTAACCAACTCCTCACCCTTTAAGGCCTTAGGCCACTCAAATCCCACAATCTCAATGTAAAATCAAGACCGAATTGGGAACGGACCGGATCAAAACCAGACCGGATCAAGACCGGACTGTATCCAATCCAATCTTCGGTCCTTATATTTTCAAAAAGACCGGACTGGACCGGATCAATTTGGGCCAATTTAACCGGACCGGACCGTATAGACACCCCTACCTGTTACAAGGTGCTACTAAAGGGAGGGATCAGGGAAGGGGAAATGTCGACTAAACATCGAACACATGACCTTACAATGAGAAGTCATTTATTGGTCCCAGAATCGACAATTCATCAAGTTTCACCCACCAATTAAATCATTTCAATATAATTAAATCATTTTGCTGGGACAATCAAGCGATCTATTGAGATTTCTATCAATCTTATTTTTCAAGAGCGGTCGCAGTCTAAACATGTAAAAATGAATTGTTATTTCGTATGTGAACGGTTTATAATTTGGAGGTATCCTAATTTTCAAGGTCAACTCTCATCTTCATGTTGCTAAACATTTCACCGAGAATTTGAGAGTTGGTTGATTTTATATTATCCTCGATCTCTAACCTAAACGTTCGCGACCTTCACTGTTCAACTTGCAAAAACCTATTATATTGAGATGAAGTTCGGCCCACTTCTTAGACCAAAACAACCAAGCCCAATCAACCCGAGTCACAAGCTAACGTAGCTTCCATTTTTTTCGTGGTGAAGGAATAGTGATCCTTACTTTTCATTTTCTGTTCGGCTCAAGATAGTAAATCAAAGGGTTTATATAAGGATGTAGGACAATCGGTCAATGAAACAAGGTATCAGTCAATAGTAGCACAGTATAAAAGAGGCCGATCTCTCGTATGAATTGATCTTGATTAATCGATCGGGATTCGGGAACACCACATAAAACTCGAGTATTTTTTTTATATAAAGGTGAAATCTATTATTAAAATTGGGAAGAAAACGAAAAAAAAAAACAGAGACACAAAACGCGGAGACACAGCAACCCGCAGCCAAACAAGCAGGCCACCATCTCCCTGCCCGGCAACACAAACCTGCCAAGCCTCCTAACAGAGGAAACGAAACACCACAGGCCCCAGAACTCGAGTGTCCTTTGTTGCTGCGTTTTTACTATATATGCACAATTAAATCATGATTATAGTAATTTTATTGGTGTGTATTCGAGAGGGTTTTCTGATAGGCTACATCAGTAACGAGTTTCAAAGGAAGTAATATGTGGGAAATGAATTTATTGACAAATACACCACGAAAGCTAGGTTTTGCTGTGAAATATAAATATGATTCTCAAACTTTCTCTGTTTGCCCTGCATCCCTCTGTTGATTTATCTGCAAAATCTTACCCTTAAGTGTAGTCTCTTCAAATTGCAGGTTTTTCAAATATCGGTAAGTGTTAAAAACACAATTATTACGGTCGGGTATCGATCAGTCTGTGTGGATCGTATATGACTAAATCAATATTTAAATCGAATTAGAATAAGACCGAATGTAGTTAAATTTGGTTTCGATCAAGACCACTATTGATTTGAAATCTAGAAATATTTTAAGAATAAAGAGACAAAAGTGCATCGCATTATATATAAACACATACTAGCGTGGGCCCCGGCCAATTGGCCGGAGGAAGGTGAGGTATGAAATTTGATAATGTAATGGGGTGTATAGCTTATTGTTGTATAGTTTTTTTTGGGAAACTCGTGATAAAAATAGTGAATTTTAGTAGGAAAGATACATGAATGATGCAATGAATCAAAAATCGGCCTTATGAACCAAAATCAAGTACATGTTACCTTGTGAAACAATATTGTTTCTGGTAATATGATGAGGTGGAGTAAGTTTTACAGAAACCGAATTCAAGAAAATCGAATAAAAAATCGCCTATCCCGTCGATTTTCGGGAAATGGGCATCTCACAATAGTTGCTAGCTTTTACTCGGCCCGTTGGTTGATTAATTTGCTTTATAAAACTTTCATCTTGTCGTCATTGTGCTTTCTGGTTTTTGTTAGGCCATGATAAAATCTAATGAAATCAAGAACGAACAACACGATTTGGGATAGGAACCGCCGTTGTCGTATCCCTAGAAAATGGTCGTAAACACAGACTCACCTGCCAAACTGGTTTGGATTGAGATTTTTATCGGGTATCAGGGAACCATGTGATTATAAATTAGACTTGATCAAAACGGGCCAAAACTTGAAATTCAGCATGTTTGACCGACCCATGCCAAATTCTAATTATTCTTTACTTTTAAACTTTCTATTTGAAAATAAAAAATAGTGAAAGCAAAGAGATGACTGCAATTCGCCATTTGAACATCACTTATTCGGGAATAGAACCATACAAATTCAAAAGGAACTGAAAATATTTAGGATCGTTTTAATGTTTAAAATAACCAAATAGATCGTTCTGTTTAGTTTTTTTACTAACAAATACCAAACGATTCCCTATAAAATACACTATAATTTGATCATTATGATATCATATAATTATATAATATATATTTGAAATGATAAAAATTGGACTAATTGGGTTGGTCGAGGTTGAACCATTGAATAACTTTAAAATACATTATATTTTAGCCACTAAGATATAAAATAATAGCATAATATATATTATGCCATAGAAAATAGCTTGTTTTAGAATGGCAAACCAATGATGTTCATTTGTTTTACTTGATGGTCAAATCCCGTGTAGGTCAGACTCATTCAACTCTTTTATTTTATGGTTAGCGGTTAGCCCATTAGATACCATGCATTAGTTTATTGTTAAATTTTTTATTTCTAGCAATAAAAAGGAGTATTGTTTTTGCTTTTTCATATATATTTTATCACCACGGAGAAATAAAAGGGCTTAAAGAAAACAATTGACACTCCTTGACCCATTTAAATCCACATGTGTACGGTAAGTTGGCCCGTTCCACAGAGAAAAGAGAAAAAAATTGACACTCCCTATTCTACCCTTCCTACAAACGCTCCTGGAGCAGGAAATTTGAAATGGGGAAAGGGTTTTTTCCGCCCTGCTATTATATGTTGTTTATTTAAAAAGATACAACAAATGTACTTAGTGTGATTGGTTATGCTCCTTGCTTTTCTTTGAAATGGACATTATTCGAATTCCAGTACGTGTCTTTTTAATGAATAAAAAAAATTGTGAAGACCAAAATGTCCTTCCTACTTTCACTCTCGTTGCAGGAAATTTGAAATGGGGCTCTCGTTTTTTCCTTTGGTGTATTATATTATGTGTAGATTGTTTTCCCTATATTTTGGCTGAACCATACCATAGCAAACAAAATTCACATATAGTGTTGTGTTTTATTAACCCAAATCGTCCATTAGACCAAAATCATAGAAACGAAAACTGCTGCAGAAATTAACAAACCGAAGCTACGATGCTTTGCAAAGCGACCCGTTACGTTCTTAAGCAGCAAGCATAGCATTCTCCCACTCTACGGCTTTCTTCAATAGGCTGTCCTCTTCAAGCACCATCTGAACCGGCAAGAACCCCATCCCGCTCGCCATTGCCAGCATCATCTGCCTCGTCTCGGCCTTGAACTCCTCGAGATCCACCTTCCCATTCGAGTCATGATCGAACTTTGTGAACAGAGACTCGTACTCACTAGCTAGCTGCCTGGGGCTCATACTCTCGTCGATGCCAAAATGGGTCTCGAAGACCCTCAAACTTTGCAGCTCCTTCAGCATCTCCGAGTACGAGAGCTGGCCATCGTGATCACTGTCGAGGTTCACGAAGAGCTCGTGAACCGAGACAGTGAAGGCCTCCTCGTCGCCAACAAAGTTGACGATGGTATTGCTGTCGAGAACTTCAATGCTCATCTTTTATGGCTGTTTTGGGGTGATGTTAGAAAGATTTTATGAAAGAAAAGAGGGTGAAACTAGAGGGGGTTTTTCCCAGGTGGTTTGGTGTGAGCTGAGTTTGGTTGGAGAGGGCTTATGATATTTATAGGTGAATCATGTTGTAGTCTCCATTTGTTTCCTAAGAAAGAATATTCCCTTGATTCTTCTAGTACGTGTTGTTTTGCTGGGCTGGTCGTTTGGAGGATATACCATTGGGCTTATTACCGTTCTTCTGGTGGCCTTCTTGGATGGATGGTGAAGTTAAGGGCTGGTTTGCTTGCTAGATTAGAAAATGAAGGTTTTGAGTTTTAAAATTTTTTGGATTTATGATTGATTTGTTTCATTATGGATTTGGAAGAGTACATTGTTTGTTTAGTTAATTTTTATAATGAATTTATGAGGGATTTGTCTCACATTTTTTCCTTTCATTATCAAATCCCAAATGAAATGTGAGATTTGCAAATTCGTGGACCCCATGAATTTGTATCTCTAACAATGGATTTGTGTCAAGTCCTTGATGCTTCGGATTTGGATGCCAAATCCATCACCCAAATCCCACAAGCAAACGATACCTAAATAGCAATAAGAACCTTAATGACGTACAGTACAGAAGACTTAATTTCTTCCTTTCTGGATGTGGTCGCCAAAGCCCATTGGAAAGCTTTCAACAAAACAAGGACTATATAATATAACACTGCATATATAGGTGGGCTAAAAATGGTGGATATTATACGCCAACTAAAATTAGTTTTAAAATATCTGATTGTAAATTATAATTGTTTGTATTAATTAGTCTTATATGATGATATGATATCACAAAGAATTCTAATCGATCTATACATTACTCTAAATTCTAAACCATAGATTCGAGATCTGAACCCCAACCCTAATTTTTAAAATGGAAATAAACCTTCAACCGTTATAGTACAAATTTATGCATTTAATTGTCCATCACATGACAACTAACTATCGATATTGTTTTGACATAAATCGCATATTAAAATGACCAAAGTAAGATGAGTGCATGACATCGAGAGAAAAAAAGAGTGCTCCGAACAATATCATATATATAGTTAAGAATTAAGTATCAGTGGTGAGGTTTGTATCGACAATCTGCTGTAACTTTTCTATCACCATTATAAAAAAAAATTCTGCTGTAAATTTCTAAAACTAATAAGATCAACTAATTATTCATAAAAAAGGACTCCGGGTTAAAGTCCCAGCAGCCGAGTATATGTACCTGTACGTATCTTATTCATTTAAAACTTTCGCATCGGTACTATTGGTAAGTCATTTTTTTCAATTTATTTGATGACTCTTGTACTAAACATTTATAAAACCCATATAACACGTTGAATATTTGTATTTAATGAACTAAATTGTTAACTTTACTATTATTATATATTTATATATTTTTAAAATAATTGTTTTTATATATTTATGACTATTAATGTACTATTAAACGTAACATTAGTTTCGAGATGAAGTAAAATACCCATACATATTTTATACGTAACTTTCTCATGCCGTATCTTACTAACTATGATTCAGCCTCGAAAAGTATTATGTAGTTAATTACTATGGTAATGGTAAAATATTGGTTAACCACTACATAGCTTATGCGCATGGATACGATAAATGGACGTACGCCATGACGCATACAACAAATTTTGTGGCAAAATGGCACATTCAATACCAAATTGTTGTTTAATGAGTATCAAACTATCTATATAGCTAGTAAGATTTCTGGATTTTGCTATGGTAACTTACAGAATGTCATGACATAAAGCAAATTATGAATTTCTCAGCATAAACTGGTGGGATGAACTGATTGAGGGCATATATAATGCGTACGTAAACACAACTGAATGAAACCACAACAAATCGAAATCTCAATATCATAGTTTTTTTGTGGAATATTAATACAATAATTCATACAACATTCTTAAGAAGTAAAGAAACAAACTCGATCCTTACAGAACGTAAGTAACAAACAACAAAGTGCTGTCACTAACGGTGCAGCACAACATACAGATCAATACGGCACATAAGCAATAACCCTTTTTTTTGGATGATTATTATAAGCTTTAGCAGAATGGGTCCTTCTCATATCTAACGAAACACTTTGGATTCTGATCAACCAAATTGATCTGTCCTCCGCTGCCACTCCTGCAGAACTGGTTGAGAAGGTTCCTGGCCCTGTTGAGACACGTGGAGCACTGCTCGAACCGCCCGGCGCAGGTGGCCAGGCCGGTGACGGTGAACCCACTGTCGTCGGCGTCGGTGGTGATGCAGAACCGCTTCCTCTTCGGCTGCGAGCTTGTCAACCCTACCAAGCGGCCCAGGACCTCGTCCCTCGCCGCCGTGGCCTCGGGCTCGTCGGTGCTGTCGAAGTTTCGTTTGTTGCACAGCACCGGCACGTTCACTTTGTTCATGGCTTCGGCGGGGCGAGTCGTAGCAGTACTGGCCAGCAGGAAAACCGCGACCAGGAAAACAATGGTAGTAGTAGTTCCCATCTTCTTCATATTATTGTTTTTCTTCTACCCCTCTCTCTCTCTCTCTCTCTTTGTTTGTGTGTGGAATGGAATGTTGGGTGGCTTGGGGATTATATAGTGTAGAAATAAGCGGCAGTAGATATGCTGTTCCCCAAAACTCCAAGGAAATGTAGGAAATTTGTCACGTAAGGCTTAGTTGCTATATCACAAATAATTCACAATGCAAATATCAATTGGTCACTATCTCGGACTTGGCTTCTCATTCCAGAAATCTCTTTTTTTTTTTTTTTTTTTCCCGTTGTTGGAAAGATGCTAGTGTCTTTCGGACACGAAATGAGCCCTTGTTATTTGGAATTAGAAAGGCATCAGAATGATTCGGCTACTGTCAGTTACTCTTCTGAACTATTTGCCTATTTTATGTGCCGGCTGCTGCTGGGCTGGCCATCAAAATGTTTGAGAGGCCTTTAATATATCAATAGGTGTTTTCCGGCTAGGAAAATCTAGATGAACAGAATTAGATTTTGCACCTTTGACTTCTTGAACAACGACAATAACATGGTTCACTCCTCTCTGAATAATGTTCGAACGAGGGTGTTTGATGTTTTTGATGGTTTTTTGGGAACAAGCTAAGTTACGTTACTCTACTCCTATGGAGGTTCAGTGAGAGCTCCGAAAACTAAGGCTATGGCTAATTTGCAGAGAAAGGATAAAATTTTGACATTGTGTGTCAAATGGTTGGTTGTGGAACCCTTGCTTCTTCTTCGTTTCTTCTATTTATAGCCACTAGGTGTAACTCCCTTGGTAACTTCCTTGGTAACTGCTGGTTGGCCTCTTGCTCCAAACTGCCTTGGGGTCCTTGTCGCCGCCTTGGTGAGTAGTTGGTAACCGTCGCCTTGGAGGCCCTTGTCCCGTCTTGGGGTTGGTGGGTACTTGATGGCCTCGATGCCGGGTCGGGTTGGTGTTGAGCCTTGTCGCCTGTCATAACTGGATGGGGTTGAGGCTCTTGCCTTATCCTCCATGAACCATGATGAGGGCTTGATCCCACCCTCGGCTGCTTGATGACTCCCCACTCTTGTCGTCTTGAGATCGCTACCACCTCAATGACACCAAATCCTCCTCATTAACTTGTTGGTTGTTACCAAGCCATCTCATTGGCTTGATACCTTTCGGCATGCCACCAAGCCCATGTTATCAACTTAACACCCTTTGCTACCAAGCCAACCCTGGTGGCTTGGTCTTCATACTTAGTTTTTTATAGCTTCGTCAAGTTGGTAAGTTTCACCCTGCCGGTTTGGTACCCCGTTGATGTGCTACCAAGCCTGTCTTGGGATTTTGTCTCCATATGGCCCCATAAGGGCTCAACTATGCATCCTGGCCGATCCATCCATGGCTGTTTGGTACCTAATTGGCTGCCTACCTCAGTTAGCCACCACGCCTTAGTCGAATTTCTTGTCTTGTTGTCTTGATACCCTGATGTATGGCTATCAAGTCCGTCTTGTCGGCTTGATACCCAGTCTTAGTTTTTGTATGACTCTCTTAGTTTGTACCTGGCTTGGCTCCCCGTTGCCTGGCCACCAAGTCAGTCTTGCCGGCTTGATACCCCCTTGGGGTCATGGTACCCTGTCTCCTTGCTTGGCCTGGCCGGCATGGTACCCTCTTGGCCCCATACTTAGCCAAATTTCTTACTTGGGTATCAGGCCTGCCTTGTCGGCTTAATACCCTCTTGTTTGGCCCCCCTTATTTGGTACCAGGCTTGGTACCCTGTCGTTTGGCACCCTGTTGTGTCGCCTTGTTTTCCATACTTAGTTTTTGGGAGCCAAATTTCATACCAAGGGGTGGAGGCATCGTCCGGCTATGGGGGCCACGAAGACGGGTCGACCATTGTATAGAGAAGAAGGGGTTTGGCCACTTAGGCCCAAAAATCCAACCCAACAAGGCCTAACTAGCTCTTTTAATTATTAATGTTGAGCTGGCATTATAAATTCATTGAATTTCTTGTAGTTAATCGATGTGGTACAAGCTGATTTTTTATGGGTAAACAATAGGTAATCCGAACTATCGCAAAAAATGTTATTTGTGTATCAAGCTATTTAATATTTCATTTTTTTCTTGAATTACTATTTCGTTAGTGTTGATCTTCTTTGACTGTTGGTATTTAACAGGAAATCCAATCAGCGCTGACGTGACTTATGGTGTGGAATTTTCATATTAAATTTCATTTACTTTTTCATCTAATTAAAAAAAAGAAATATCAAACTATTTAATATTTCATTTTTTTTTCTTGAATTAATGTTTCGTTAGTGTTGATCTTCTTTGACTGTTGGTATTTAACAGGAAATCCAGTCAGCGCTGACGTGAGTTATGATGTGGAATTTTCATATTAAATTTCATTTACTTTTTCATCTAATTAAAAATTTAACTTTAAATTAAAAATTGAAAAACTCAAACCTCTCCTCCTACACCTTACCCCGATGGAATCGCATCCGGGTAAGCTTCGATGTTCGTCGGCCTTGTTGGCTTGGACCACCACGAGGCTCGGCAACACGCGGTGCACCCGATTAGCCCGGTAATCGAACCCACACAAGCATCCAGTCTCGAGTCATGCTATACAAGACTACTCCCACTACTAGTTCCAACCTACCACCATAGGTGAAAAATTTAGTTTTCCAGCCCTGAACTCTAGCTAAGTAGTTGTTAACCGATCAATAAGAGGGTTGCACACTATCAATTCACCAGCTATCAGAGGGACTCCTAAATACCTCACTAGGAATTTACCTTCCTGGTACACATATTTAGGAAAAAATCCAAATCTACCACTGTTTTAAAAAAAATTACAAAAAAACCACCAATTCCCAAGAATTTCCAAATCTACCACCATTCCCCATAATCCGCGCCTCGAAGGCGCGGTTCTCATTCAAATCGCGCAGGCAAGGGGCGGTTTGACATGGGGCAGCTGACAAAACACGCCTCCACATGGCGGTCCATGCAACCGCACGATGGGCAGGAGATCTGACGGCTAATCGCCTCCCAGCGGAGTGATACGCGTCGCCCACGGGAAACCGTTGCCTTGAAGCGCGGTTTGCGCGTTGGGAAACGTAAACCGTGTGCTGGAGGCGCGGTTTTTGGTGGGGTAAAAAGACCAAACCGCCCCTCCAGCACGCGGTTCTTTCCCTATATCAAGCGGTACGTACTCATTTTACCCAATTTTTGTTGTTGTTATATTGGTTTATTTAATTTATATACTAATTGATTTATGTTGTTGTTATGCTATCGTAGGTTGGGCCGGATGTTGATATATACAATCAACGATATTATGCTGATCAAGGACCGATTGATCCGACTATTTTATACGATCAATACAATCATCGTTCAAGAGACGTTTGGAACGACCACAAGGCACATATTATTTATCATCACTTGTTATTTTTATTTTATTAACGTAATTTATTTGTTTGTACAATAAATTACTTAATTGTTAATCGTATTAATTATTTTCAATAATTTAAATCAATACGATACAACACTTATTTAGACTCTTTATAAAGAAATGCATATCTAAGGAAATGGGGTCTTAAGCAATCATCATGATCCTCCCATGACCTGGAAAAATCGGATTCTAAGCGATCCTCGGATCCCCCCTTTTTCTGTCAAACAGACTGTGTCTCTAAGAAGATGTATACATGTTGGATATCAATATACCATACGATCAACTCTTCTAGTGTCATCCATGCAGGTAACCTCAGTGCACATTTGATGGAGCTCTTCAAGCATCGGTCTCGTACGGACCTTCATTTTATAAAAATTGCCACCCACGTAACTTACACCCTTTTCGGTCTCTTCCGTGTAACCATTCCACCGCAACCCAAGCGTGAACCTTTGGAATGCCATCTGCAATAAAACTGTAATTAAGTTACTAACATAAAATCACAAATGACAATGAAAAGTAATACAAAACAAACTTACGAATTAACGTTAATCGCAAAAACAAAATAATTTAAAGGTGCACAACTGAAATTTGAAGAAGATGAAGAAGGAGTGGAGTGAAGATTTTGAGTTTTCTGAACCTGCCTTTTATAGGCAAATTTTACACTACAAACTGCAGGGGGGAGCGATTTTAGTCTGGTATGCAGCCCCCACCCCCTGCAACCTCCTGCATGCCAACATGTCGGATGTCGGGTGATGAGGCACAAACCGCTGGGGGGGAGTGGTTAATGTGTCGACATGGTAAAACGCGCGTTTTACCATGTCGACACATAACCGCTCCCTAAGGAAGCGGTTTGTGCTAGGGCAGCCATGAAAACCGCTTATTCGAATAGCGTTTCTTCCAAAATAGACAAAACGCTTGTCGACCAGGCGCTTCTATGGTAAACCGTCGTCGGGGTGGGCGGTTTCTCTTTTAACCGCCCCTGAGTGGAGCGATTTTTAATAAACAGTGGTAGATTTGGAAGTTCTTGAGAATTAGTGGTATTTTTGTAATTTTTTTTAAACAGTGGTAGTTTTGGATTTTTTTCCACATATCTAGCTAGCTCTAATTTTCATTTCCTCTTATTTCATACCCAAAACCAAAAAGGGTGAATTGCAAGTTTGGTCACTTATATTATCTATTTGTAACAAGTTAGTCACCCAATAACTTTCGCTGCAATTAGCCACCGATACTACTCGTTTGTGTCATCTTTGGTCACTCGCCGTTTAGTTCCATTAAACCTGTCCTACGTGAAAGTCAACAGTTAGGTTTGATTGTTAAAATGCTGATGTGGCAATTAAAAAATAAATATTTTCAAATTTTCAAATTTTATACTTTTACAGCTCACAATTTTCAATCAAAAATATTATCTAAAAAATTAACAATTCACTTTCTCCGTGGTTAGTCTCCCGACTCCCCAGTTTGCCAATTACCCCATCTCCGTCCCCACCAACCCTTCCTCTACCACGATCCCATTAAAACCTCCTTCATTCCGCCCAACGCCGCTGCAAACCGAAACTCCTCCGCCAGAGCTTCCTCCGGCACCGCTAATCCCAGCTTCTCCTTGGTAACCGACCAAACCTCCCTCCACGCAAAACTCGACCCGTTGACCAAATTCAACG